GCGTGCCCAGCCCGCGGGCCCGAGGGGGAACAATGCTCCGGGCGCTTCGAGAGGGGCCCCTGGGCGGACCCACTGCCCTCCCGAGGGACCGGTGTCTTTTTCCAGCCCTGAGCCAAGGTGCAGCTCCCTCCGGCCCCGCGGTCGCCGAGTCGGGTTTGGCTTTCTCCCACCCCCGCCCGAGGCGCTTCCGATCGCGGGTGCTACAGAGGCAGGGCTACCGAGCCCGGCGCCTGAGGTTGTCCGCCTCGGGTCCGAGCGGTCACCGCACCGCAGTGGCCGCCGCTGCTCAGCGGCTGTGCCCGCCACCAGCCACTTTTTTTTTTTTTGTGAATAAGACGCTCTCCTTTATTGTCACATGATATCCCTCCCCTCCTCCCCTGCACATTCATAAATCCGGAGCCTGCCTCGGCTCCTTTCATTCAGTGCTGCCATTAGCTAAGGTAGCGGTGGCGCCGGCTGGTGCTCTTTGGCTTGGGCGCGGAGAGCCGGTGGGCAGCCGTGGGGACGTGCCTGGAGGGAGGCCCCGCGCGTGTCTGCAGGGATGTGGGGGCTGCGGGTAGCCAGCGCCAGACACCGTGGGTCTTTTGCCCCCGCGAGCATTGGGACTCAGTGCAGAGAGGGGAAGTGACTCAGGGCTGGCCGGCAGGGAGGGCTTCTCTTGCAGCAGGTGACAGAATGCTGTGCTGTAAGAATCTACTCACTTTTTTTAAAATGCCCCTTTATTCTTTGGTCTCTGCTTTTGCCAGGCTGGGCGGGAGGGGGTGTTGGGAGGACTGGTGTTTGGGAAAGGGAATTTTCTTTCTGTGGGTCCCCAGGGAGCTTTGGTTGCAGTAACCCCTGGTCTGCTGGACACCCATTCCGTACGTAGCTGGAGAGGATACTGCCTGGTGTGTGTGTTGTGGCTGTCCCACCACATCTGCTGGTCTGTGTATTTTAGACCTTTTGCTTTGCCTTCATAAACTGTATCTTTAAATGGTAAAATGAAAAATGTTGACGTTCTAGGGCAGAAATACAGGTTGGGGTGGGGGAGGGATATACTGCTGGGCCTTGCCCCCTTTTGGAGTTGACTAATAAACAGGTATTTTTACGGGTCCTTGTTTGTCCCTGCACACACAAAGAGCAGTAGTAGCAGGGAGGGACGGTTGCCATGCTCTGGGCTGGTTGGAGATTGGTTCACCACCCTCGATTGGGTTCCTTGGCTCCAGCTCTTGGGAATACTGGCCTGGCCTCTCCCTTTTCGGGGAGGCATGTCAGCTTTGCATCCTCCCCTGTCTGCTATCCAAAGCAAAAGCATTTCAGATGGGATCACCAGCAAAAAATAAATAAAAAACTCTCTTCCAGGCTTTCAGAGCAGTTCAGCATGGAACCAGCTGCCCCAACTGCTGTCAAGCCCAGTTGAGACAATGGATATTTGAGGACAGGTTCTGGTTTCAGTTAGAGAATCAGAAAGCTGTGGCACCACAGCCCGCTGCAGAATTCTGGCCTTCTTGGGTTTACTTTTAATGTAATGACCTTGTCATGAGACATGAAATGCCTGGTAAGAAGACAGGCTGTATGTAAACTGCCATTTGTGGACACTGTCCATTATATTGTTCAATGTTCTTAAGTAATGACCCATCTGAAAAATGCCTCTTAAATGCTGGTGCCAGGAAGAAGGTTTCTCTCTGAGTTACAGAGCTTGCTGTGATTGCTTTTGTGTTGTTTTCCTACCACTGTCAGGAAGCTCAGAGCTAAAATTTTTGCTTGATTATGGTGCCATATTAGCCTAGGTTTTTGCTAGGTTTATTTACCCCTCCTCTGTGTGCATTTTGATCGCCTGTTTTCTCATCTAGTGGTTTGAGGTTCCTTTTGGAAGTAGGCAAGGTATGTTACTTATAAGGCGGTAATCAAACTGGAGACTGGCGGATATATTTGTGCCTTAGATAAAACATTTTCCTGATAGTCCACATATATTTAAGGCTTTTATTAAACAATACAGGTACTTAACTATCTTGATCAGAATATAGTAACTCAGAATGGTAAAATCATGCTTAATTTAAAAAAACAAGTTTCATCTTCTATTGTTCTTTTCCATGTCAATTTAAAACTCCTCTAATATATATATATGCTCATAAATTCAGGAAAGCTTGCCTGCCCTTTTCACCGATGGTCTTAAACAATAGTTTCCACATAGAAAATACCCTGATCCTTTTTTGATCCCACTCCAGGTAAAAATGCATGTTAAGATTTCCAACTCTACAGATTTTTTTTATAATTGAAAAATTGAAGAGCATCAACAAACTATTGAAAGTGGTCTTTTGTACACAGGGAGTGGAAAATTTTTTTTAAATCATGTGTATTTCGTCTGTATCTTTAAAGCATGCAATCATGGCTATGAATGGTTTGGAAATTTGCAGACAAAATGAAGAAACCCTTCTCAAATGAGCTGTAACTCGGGAGACACCGGGCTACCATTCAGCTTTCTGTCTGGTTCATGAACCCTTCTCTGCAACACACATCTTGCTGAGAATGGATTTGTAGCTCAGCCCTCAGTTGTATTTTCCCTAATGTTGAAAGGGTTCCCATTAAAAAAAAAAAAGGCTTAAATATTTTTGCTGAAACTTTTCAAAGAAATTAGCCATTATAACCCTTATATTCCAATTACTTGAGCTTACCTTCCAAAAGATGAGCCTACTCTGCCATGAAACCACAATACCATGATGACACTTAATAAAATGAAGAATAAATTCCCTGATGTCTGTAACTCTTAGTCTCAGTTGACTGAAAAATGTCTTTCTAACTGGTTATTTCAGACAAGGGCCAACAATCCTGCTTTAAATTCATTTGTAATGTGTACTTAAGACTCAATGCTTAGCCGATTGCTCACTTTCTGATGTAAGGCAAGTTACTTTTGTATCTCACCTTGGTTTTATCTGAGTGAATAAAATGGCAATAAATACGACTGATTTCATGGAGTTGCTGTGGGAATTCAATGAGCTAGCCCGTGTAAAGCTTACAGCCGGCACCACGAATAACACAGGTGTCTGGTGTCAGCTCTTTGTTGGGCGCTGGGATAGATTTCTTACAGGCTCACTTTCAAACGTGTGAAGGGGTTGTCACCCCATTTATCTGATATGGAAGCTTAAGTAAAGTCACTTGTCGAAGACAGCTAATATTTTTTATAGCAGTTTATTCATTTAGCCTTCTCAGCAATTCTATGCAGTAGATAGCATTATTACCTCCATTTGTAGATGGCAAAACCAAGGCCCAGAGCAGTTAAGTAACCCCAGCAGCCTTGCTCAGAAAGGATTGTTTTTAACCAGCATGAGGTACTGTCTCAGAAGGGGAGAGGGTGGCAGCCTTAGTCATACTGACTTCAGAGCTCACACCATTTCTGCCAGTCATGCTGTCCCTTATTCTTCTGAATTGGTGATAGTCTGTCACTGCCGTAACTTTTTTCACTTCCCTTATCTTCCCTGAAAATGCTATGACGCACATACTGAATCAAAGTGAATTTGAATAAACTTGGGCTTGAGAATTCTGCCATACACCTTAAGATAATGGGAGTGTGAATTCAGGGTTGGTTATTACTGGAAAGTTAGATCTACATTCATTGAAATAACAGTTGTGGGAATTAGACCCATTACAATAAGTATTGATCCATTCTCTTTGTATTAGCCTTAAAAAAAGGGAGTGTGTTTCCACTCTACTTAAAATCCTTAAATGTTAAAAACATGGAGTTGACTATTCAGAATTGGAATCTTGATTTGTTCATCAGAAAATCTTGAAAGCAAAGCAAAGCAAAACAGAAAACTTGGAAAGATCTTAACAAGCTTATAAGCCAGGACGTTGTCATTGTATAAAGACACTGTTACTGTGTAAAATTAAATTCTTGCTGCAAGGCTGTACGTCTTGTTAGGTGGTGGGCCTGGACTAACCTCCACCTGCTGGGTCTGTTTCCACAGGGATCTTAACAAATGCTGCCTCCTTTCTAGCTGTAGCTGATCCCCTCTGCTCTCCAGTTCCTTTAACCAGTAAAGTGTATTATAAGTGAATCAGTGTGAGTATCGAAACTATTCTGCCTCAACAGTCTGCTTGCTCGTGCTCTTTATTCTGAAATCCTCTTCTTTCTTCCTTTCCTTCAACAAGTGAGATTCTGCTCATTCCCCTCAACCAGCCCTGGGACATTCCTTTTATGAGGTCCTCCTAGACTTTCCCCACCGCGACTAAGTCAAGATCACAGACTCTATGGCATTTCCCCCTCCATCGTCTGGCATATAATCACCATTTAGATTTGGGCTTATACCCAGATTCTGTCCTGGAATAGGAGCTTTTGGGATTCAGGATTATTACCTCTTAACTGCCTAGTTTTCTAGTTGTTGGCCTAACACCACTGGGCACATTGTGGCTGCTTTTAATAAATATCTATTGAACTTAAAAAATGGATTTAATTATTTTAAAATGCAGTTTTGTCCCTGCTGACTAA